CTGCCCCAGGAAAGCAAACCCTCTGTCTCCTACTCCTATCCTTCAAGCAGAAGGCCCTATCCATATACCTAGCCTGGCTATCCCCAACAACAACAATGTTTTTACCTTCCTTGGTTTCGTTTGTCGTGACGTTCCCAGTAGTTGACTCACATTCATCGGGTAGCATGGAGAATGCTTTCGATGTTTCCACAACAGTCTGTTTCTTCATTGTTTCTACCTCTCCATTCGTCTTCTTGATCTTCAACTTTGTTCCATGCTGTCCAGTCACTGCCCAGGTTCCCTTCTTGACCTGAGGACTCACAACAGGAGGACTACTACGAATCCTCTTGTTTTCCTCCATCAATTGCCATATGTCAAGCTTCGCTACCCTCAATTCCTCCTTAAGATGCTGGTACAGTTGCTCAATGGAGGGCATCTTGGTTCAGTCCACAGGGAGTACACTAGACACTGGATACATCCTCACTGAGCTATCTACAGGTCACCACTGAGCTATGTACAGGTCACCACTGAGTATGTACAGGTCACCACTGAAGACTCTGGTACACTTGCAACATCTGGGCATCTTTACTGTAAACGTTTTGTCATCCAGTAACTATATTAAAGCAGATGATTACCTCATCTTTTGTATGTAGTTTACCTGTCCTCCAAGTATGTCCTTGAATTTGTATCGATAAAGCCACTGTATGGGGAAATGTCTACAGTAAAGATACCCAGATGTTGCACATGAGTCTAATTTTTCATTTTGTGGGTACTGTATAATATACATGTACAACACCGGCAATATTACCAATAACATGTTATATAAAACACATGTTATATTAAAAAAGAGCTTTACCAAGCAGTTTTGGCTTGTGTTGAAAACAGTATAAAATACCATGGAGCTGAACTCTTCTCCAGGCTGAGGGACTGACCACCTCTAATACTTTTTCTCCAAGGTTGATAGACTGATTACATCATATTTATTTCAATACTACACCTGCTCCCTCTGTATTTGACTATAGAAGCCTACTGTGTAGGCGAAACGTTTCATCAGTAAAGATACCTAAGTGTTGCACATGTGTCTTAATCTTCAGTTTTGGCTTGACAAAGCTCCTGGAGAGCGAAACGTTGCCACAATAAAATGTTACATCAGTTGCACTTATGTCCTTTTACCTAACATATTGTCGGTAATTCTACCAACATTAATACAATATCTCATAAGTTTTATCATAGGATCTTATTAGATTCATTCCCCCTCTCCCCCTACCCCCCCTCCCCGCCTGCTAGATTTAGGTTTCCTTCTTATCCGAAAAACTTTTATTGTTGGAAAGGACAACATACACCTGCTTATTAATCAGTGTGATTCATACTTGTCTTTCAGGTTTACCTGACACAGCGAGAGTTGTAAATTCCGGCCCAATATTGATTTCGCTTTTATTTATTAACACCTCAAGCAATTTGCTTCAGGGTTACTGGATATACTGTCTCGGTATTTTATCATGTGACAAATGGAATATAATACCGATAAGTTGGGAAACAATAGGAATCTTTATTAACGAAACGTGTCGCCTGCGCTGCAGGCTTCATCAGTCGATTACAGAAACATCAGCACAGGTAATATAAACACATATGCAGTATAATGTGATCCTTTATTGACAACGTTTCACCCACACAGTGGGCTTTTTCAAGTCAAGTGTGTGACTTGAAAAAGCCCACTGTGTGGGTGAAACGTTGTCAATAAAGGATCACATTATACTTCATATGTGTTTATATTTCCAGTGTCGGTATTTGATACCATTTATTTCCATCAGCACAGGTAAGAGACGAAATGAAGAGGTAGTTGATGCAATCAGTCCATCACCTTTAGAACAAGATAATTCGTCTCTTAGCCCAGTGCAAGTGTCCAGAGGCTTATGTACTGGACAGTGAGGTGTAGCAGCTTGAAGATGAGGTCACGGGTCAGGCCACACATTCCACCGCTGACCTTGCTACTGGCAAGACAATGTTGCTCTACTCTCCAGAAGTCTCCCTTCGATCCCCGCTGAGGAGGAGAATAAATATTATACAAGCGCTATCTCCTTTCTCATAATCCTGTCGCATCGTGTGAAAATCAAGCCTGTGAATAGAGTAAGCAATGACTCCTCGAAGCTAGCTTTAGTTACCGCCGTTAGGACCTGCCTGCAGGTCAAGTTTAGGGCAATCCACTCTCTGAAGGACTCCTTTATTGTCGTCTGTACAGACGACACTGAAGCATCAAAAGACTGGACATGAGCGTCACCTCTCTCTCTCTCTGCTGAAGCAATGAAGACATATATCGAGGAACAAAACACCTGGACCTCGGTAGATAGCATCTTCAATAATTCTAACGCCTCATCTATGCCAAAGATCAGATTCTCAGATATCTCTATGGCTGCCCAAGCTCTCCTTGACGGTCTGGCCATCTCATATTACCACATTCACCCAAGTCATATAGAACCAGAACGTTTCACACACATCTCCCACTGCTGGACCTGATACTCCTATAATCACACCACCAAGGACTGCCCTATCAAGGTTAAGAATTTTTGTTCATAATGTGGGAATGATAGACACGAATTCAGATCCTGCACCATCACTACGGCTCCAACATGTCTTAACTGCAAGGGTAATCATCATACCCTTGCAGTTAAGTGCCCACTCAGGAAAGAAATCATATCGAAGAAAACTAAAGATATGAAGAACATCTCCAATTCACCGACATACGCTGCAATAACCAAACTACAAGCCAACACCACGAAGATTCTACATGCCACTCTACAGACACCTTCGCCCAGCAACTCCTTCTTTCCACTCCCGGACGGGGCTCCCTCCAAGGTGCTGTACGGCATGGTGTATGCACACCTTGTCAACGCAGCAAACGCCGACACTTTCAACACCACTGTTAGCGAACTATTCCGTCTGAACAACTTGCCTGCCTTCAATTTTCCGGACTCCACACCTTCAGCCGACATCCTCAAGATCCTTCCAACGTCGTAAACTTTAGTGTACCTGCAGATCTGTCTCCTGCCCAAGCAACTGCTCCTGTAACTTCTATAACCACTTCCACCACTGACAACAGTGATCCTGCTGCCTCAACCACCTTTTCCCACGTCTCCCAACCTGCTGTTACACCACCATTACACCTCTCCACTTTTCCTGTCGACCCTCAGTCACCTGGTAACACCAGGTGACTGAGGGAGGGAAGTGTTGGTGGAGGGAGGGGTTTGTTGGTGGTGGAAGGATGGGTGTGGTGGTGGATGGAGGGGTGTCGTGGTGGAGGGAAGGGTGTGGTGGTGGTGGAAGGATGGGTCTGGAGGTGGAAGGAGGGGTGTGGTGGTGGAGGGAGGAGTGTAGCGGTGAAAAGAGGGGTGTGGTGATGGTGGAGGAAGTGGTGTGGTGGTGGTGGTGGAGGAAGTGGTGTGGTGGTGGAGGGAGGGGTGTGGTGTTGGTGGAGGGAGGGGTGGTGGTAGTGACGAGAGGGGTGTGGTTGTGGAGAGAGGGGTGTTGTGATGGAGGAAGGGGTGTGGTGGTAGAGGAATGGATGTGGTCGTGAAGGGAGCGGTTTCGTGGTGGAGGGGTCTACCTGCCTGGAGTCTACCTGGAGGTTATTCCGGGGATCAACGCCCCAGCGGCCCGGTGCATGTCCAGGCCTCCCGGTAGATCAGGGCCTGATCATCCAGGCTGTTACTGTGAGGTGGCGGAGGGTGGGATGTGGTGTTGGAGGGAGAGGTGTGGTGGTGGTGGAGGGAGGGGTATCGTAGTGGTGGAGGGGTGTGGAGGTGGAAGAGGTGGGTGGTTGTGGAGGGAGGGATGTGGTGGTTCATGAAGGGAGGGGTTTGTTGGTGGTGGACTGATGAGTGTGGTGGTGGGAGCGATGTTGTTAAGGAGGGAGGGGTTTGGTGGTGGTGGAGGAAAGGATGTGTAGGAAAGGGAAGAAGTGGTAGTGGAGGGAGGGGTGTGGTGGTGGAGGGAGGGGGTATGAAGGTGTTGGAGAGAGGAACGTGGTGGTGGTGGAGGGAGGGGTGTGGTGGTGGTGGAGGGAGGAGTGTGGTGGTGGTGGAGGGAGGGGTGTGGTGGTGGTGGAGGGAGGGGTGTGGTGGTGGTGGAGGGAGGGGTGTGGTGGTGGTGGAGGGAGAGGTGTGGTGGTGGAGGGAGGGATATGATTTTGGAGAGAGGGGTGTGGTGGTAGAGAGAGGGATGTGGTTGTGGAGGGAGGGGTGTTGTGGTGTAGGGAGGAGTGTGTTGGTGAAAGGAGGAGTGTGGTTGTGGAGCAAGGGTTGGATGTAGTGGTGGACTGAGGGTTATGGTGGCGGAGAAAGGGTGTGGTTGTGTAGGGTGTTTTATGGTGGAGTAGAGTGAAGGAAAACAGAGAGTAGCAACGGTAGTGTCTGGTGTGGTTGAGAAGTGTGGGGGAGGGGACTAATGGTGGAATTTTATTGTTCAGAGTGGGGGCGGTTAAGAAGATGAGGGAAGGAGATTGGAAATTTTGGAGGATTGATTGTAATTTTTGAGGACAACTTAGGATGAGGAAGGGTTGAGTCAGGTGGTGTTGGGTAGTAGGTGGAGTGTAGTGGAGGATGTTGGTGGGTGGTGAGGGGTGTGGTGTGGGGAAGAGCGGGGTGTTCTGGAGGAAGTTAAGGCGCGATGGTGAAGATATAAGAGTGGTGGAGGTGGGTGTGATGTCTCGTGTCAGTCAGACATCATCAGGGAGACCTAAACAGGTGCCTAAGGCTATAACAGTTTTTCTTCACACATATGTTGGCTGAATCTGGAACTGGATGGAGAAGACAGGAAGTGCCACTACCTCTTAGAACTTCAGGAATTCGTATGACCCTGAAAGCACTACACCAGAAGCATTACTCTGCTATTGTTACTATAGTAAAACACTAGTAGGTAATCATAAATATAAATTTACAAATAAATAATTACAGTTACGCAATCATGAATTGACAAACACATGGATAATCACACGTTCACTTTCTGAAACAGTCATTACTACTCACGTTTGAGCTTGTATGCTGCTGCAGCGGTGGTGGACAGGAGGAGCACCATTACAGCTGACACTATTCTCGCCACCGTCTCCCTCAGTTTGCTGTTTCTTGTCTTATCCAGTGTCGACTTCAACCTATGGGTCGATGTAAAAGTAGACGCCGACGCCTTGAGGTTGACCTCTCTTTCCCTCGATTGGAGCGGAGGAGGACGTGAGGTAGGTGACCTGTCTCCAACTCTATCTCTCGAAGGACGAAGCTCAAGTGGGGTCGATGTCTTGAAATCGACCCTTCTGCCTCTCGAAGACAGCACTAAAGTCGAAGCCAGTGCTTTGACATTGATCTCCGAGTCCTTCGACGGACATTGTCTTCCATGTGAGGTCACTTGGTGGCAACTGGTTGCTTTGTAATCCCGTGTGTTTGAGGGATAACCTAAGGATACTGAAGGGGTTTCTGAAGAGGACGAAGATGAAATTGTAGAGGGAGCAGACTGAAGTGCTGCAAGTACAGCGTGAGATGAAGCAGCAAGTACGCGGAAAGATAAAACAAGAGGAAGTGCAGGAGGCGAGAGAGAGTAAGGCAGAGGCAGGGAGATGAAAGGTGCAGTAGGGATAGGCGTAGGTGTGGCCTCACCGCTGGGTGAAACTTGGATGAGACCAATGTATGGCGCAGCAGTGGGATCAGTGGGCGGCGGGGATGGGGCAGGAGGAAAGAGAGATAAGGGTTGGAGTCTAACTGTAAGGGAAAGAGAGGGGGAGAGACACACACATGATGATAGGCCTCCACAAGATGTCCATTTATCAAGGACTGTGGAATTAAACAGTGGAATATTAAGGCCCCTATCAGCACACGGCTGAATCGTCCTGCGAGTGAACTCGGAATCCACAGGTGATCCTGACTGAGCACTACACAGGCACACTGGGAGCACATGGCAGTGAGCACAGCGCCAGGCATGACCTACACCACACACGTCACCCTGTACATAGCACGGTGCATGACCCGAGCACGTCACGTCATGGAGACTTCCTGCATTGCGAGAATACCAACACCAGCAGCAGTTAACCTTCTCAAGCTGTTCCAGAAGACGTGGTGCACTGATCTCCAACATTAATGTTCAATATTGTGTTCATAGCCACCTCGTTCATCTTAGGGCTCTCCTCTCATTGGATCAAGTCATTTTAGAGGCGGGTCTTACCGCTGGCAAACTTGCCATGTCAAGATTCATCAGGAGAGCCTCGGAGGGGTACTCACTCGTACATTACCGCCTTGGTTCAGCGCACAAGATAGGGTGACCAACACTGTAGTGCTCAACCCAGGTGAGACCTTCAAAAATTGAAATACCAGAACTACCTCAAGAGCGGTCTTCGCATCTTATTCGTGGACACCATAGATCATCCTACATGTCTTTGCCCTGAAAAAAGAAAGAAAAATAAAGTTTTACCATACTGTAAAACATTTTAAATATATACACATGAACTTCATATCACCCTTATAACTGCGCCATGATAATGCTGAATGAGTTCAAAACTCGCAGCCGTTGCTGTGAACCCAGAGCGAAAATAGTCGAATACAAAACAAGAATAAATCAGCATTTTAAAATTCTATGCATATTTAACTAGGAAACAAGCTCCGAGTACAGTTATTGAGCTAAAACGTTGTCGTAGTTTTTTAAAAATAGGTTAGATAAATACATGAGTGGGTGTGGGTGGGTGTGAGTTGGACCTGACTAGCTTGTGCTGCTGGGTCTGGTGCAGTGCTCTTTCCTTGAGTGGAGATGACCAGATCTGGGTGTGTTTCATTCGGCTACTTCGAGGGGTGTTATTGTCTAATTCCAGGGGGGATATGGACCTGCTCTGCATGGGTCAGTGGGCCTGTTGCAGTATTCCTTCTTTCTTATGTTCTTATTTGCTCGGCCACCTACCTCGCGTTGTCCCGATGCGACAATACTGGTGGTAAAAAAAACTCAGTCTCTCTCTCACCGGAACAGGGCACACAACACAGAATAAAAACATATATATATACACATAGACATGGAAAAAATACTTCCTACAGGGAGGGAAGAAAAAAAAGGTGGGGTGTTCTGAACATCGTGGTCAAAGGCAGTGAGCATCGATGGGCATCACTGCACGCCTTCCTGCGTTTGGACAGATACTGCAAAACAGGAGACATTGCTGCGGCTGAGCTATATGTAACGAGGTACTATCTCCTCTAGAACGGTGAAGCAGTCATCGTAGGAGTCACTGCAGGTTTCACTCAACCTGGGGAATGATATGCTGGTGCCCTCGAGTGAGGGCGTCATCAAAAACTCGGGGGAACTGGGCAGGACTTCTGGCAGAAGCAACCTAAGGGAAGATAGACTTCTCCGTCTGGTACGTGTCGCTGGCGGGGGCTGTCACTGACGCGAGCCTAGGAGAAAGTCATGGAAGCCAAGTTCGTGGCAGAAACAAACTGCCCACAAACATCATGGGAGTCTTAATATCACTACACCAAGGACTGCAGTGAGCCAAACCAGCTGTCAAAATGAATTATCTTTTTGCGGGAGCTCACTGAGTTGTGAACAGGAGGCTGACACAGCGCCTGCCAACAGGCTTAAACTGCAGCTTGATGAGTGTCTTCTGTGGACAGTTGGAATTATAGCAGAGGTTCGTCTAAGTAATCCAGACTTGATTTCTCTACATTAACTGCACTTTGAGGTCTCACCGGAGGTGAAGTGAACAAATTTTGATGGAATCGTAGCAGTACGATTCTGCAGAACATCTATGAGCGACGAGCATAAGAGCTTTCTGTACAAGGGCACGGTCATATGCTCAGGGACTGACTAATATCAGCTGTCAAATGCGCTGGTCACACCGGCTGACAAGTAACACAGTGGTGCTACTCTGGAAGTCTGGTCAAGACCCACACTGGAACATGGAAAACTCTCTTTAAACACACCGCGGTACATGCAGTCACATGTGCTTAAACCAAATGATGCTTTTCTCGTGCACAATATTGCACTAAGCCCATACACTAACATGGAGGAGAACACTGATGAGAGGATTTAATTAACACACGACATATATCTTACACAATCTTTCTGACAATACTGAATAATTATTGAAACACTCGATGTGGACATCATGTGAGTCAGTCATCGGCATCGCGAGGTGACTCGTCAGCAGCATGTGACGTCTGCAGTCGTCTCTGATGGTGGGTACGTCAGGCAGCCATTGTGACATCACGAAAGTCGGGAGCAGAAGCCACAGCATGTGGCCTGGGACATCTGACTCAGTAACTCACATGGCTCATAGATCCACCGTGGCTTCTCCACACCCCACATGGCCGTCAGGATCCACGTGGCATCGTGATCTACATGGCATGCTGATCCACATAGCTTCGAGTGGGCTCGGGCATTCGGATGCAGAGCTCTGGCAATGAAATCACACGGAAAACAGCAGAAAACACACCAGAGGGAGTGAGCACATAGTGGTGGAATGTGGTGGTAAGTGGGTGAGCTTGGGCGAGGTGAGAAACGGCCATTTCTCCTCTCCCACCCACAAACACTGGGAGAACAATCACACTGGATGCAGAAATCACCTCAAAACTCCTATGCTTGCTGAAATAGTGTGCTGAGCTGAAAACACAGCAGAGAACATACCAAAGTGTATGCTGAAACACGTGCACTTCTTGAGAAACAGCGTGGGAAGAAATTCGGTAAATTTCGGCTAGATCCTGCTTGTACCTGTGTCTGGATGCTGAAACGTGCAGCCATGACATCAGGATAACTCGTTGAGAGGCGGATGTTTCTCGTGTAGGGTGATGAAGTGACCACAACTTCATTCTAATCCCTTCCTCTCTCCAGGCAAACACAACTGCTGCGACCACCACTTCCCACCAAATGTGAAACAAAAACTTTAATGGTAATGCTTGCAGCGGTGATCAATAATAAGTCTTTGGAGGCTTCTTACTTTATTTGCAGAGTCGTGGTGGGTACACAGGCTTGTGTGTTTGTGCCCATGGCCCTGGAGGGCCATGCCCGTGAGGGAGAGAGGGGTGGACACTTCTTGACTGAGTGATGGGTGTCAACAGAGTGAGGGTGAGTGGGACCAGCGTCCTACTGACCTGGGCAGGCCTAGAGAGGGCAGCACCTGAGTGCAAAATATGAGCTAAGCTGGCAGACAGCATAGGCTGTCTGTGCAGACAGTACAAGCTGTCTACAAAACAGACAGGATATTGCAGCGCTAAATGAATTCCAAAGGTGAGGAACAGAGTGCAGAGGCTTATAAAAGAAGCAAAGGCAAGGCACTATTACTTAAAAATTGAAGGGTACAAAAAGAAACCCTTGAAAGAAAAAAAATATCTGGCAACAACATAAAACAGTTGGGCTATAACATAAACCCGTAATGAATCTAACATAAGATATTATCTTATCGACTAGGCGAGGTATTACACGGAAATCAACTAAAATGGCAAATTGTTTTTTAATTCCTTACTACACATCTGTCTCATCGACACTAGTAAATTAACTACCAGCTGCATCAAATACCTTTAACACAGACTGATAGTTTAAAACATACTATAACAATAAAGGGTAACCCAAACAGTGTCAACTAGCAAGTGTATTCATGGCTTCATTGCCTACAAAGAACTAAGCAGGTTAAACCCAACACGGAGCACCGGGCCAGATAACATTCTCGTTTATGTTCCTACCCCAAAGATTGTGCCTCTGAATTTGCAATACCATTGCTCACATAATAAATTTGTCCATCACCATTAATACACGTACCGGAAAGGGGTTCAAAGGGAGACCAAAAAGTACTATCATCAAGAAAAACAGTAGGTCTGTGCCAGCAACATACAGGGCTGCCTGTTAGACATACTTCATGTGTAATATTCAAAAATTCTAGAAAGGGCTGGTTACGCACTGTCAAGTAGGTTAAGTATCTTAATGGACTCATCAGAACATGTCCTTCATAGTTACCAATCAGGCTTTAGGAGACCAACTCACCGACCCCTCCCTAATTATCTGATGGATTACATGAGAACTGATATGTCGATTAAGGGGAACCTCATGTGGAATGGTAACTTAGACTTGCACTAAAGGCCCCTCGAACTGTCAACCCACAATATAGCCATGTAAGAACTTCGGTATCGGCATTGGATTCTGTAGACTGGTTTAAGTTCTATCCTTATACAACAGGGAACAAACTGGCAAAAATCAGCAAATAACAGAAATAGAACCTCTGCCGATAACATGTGGAGTTTACCCATGTAGTTTTCTGGGCCCATTGTTATTCCTAGGTTATGTAAACGACATGCCCATCAGTGTCAATTGTGCAAACTCTACTGTATTGAGATGGACAGTGCTTTTTAGTGTCAGCGTAAAGAGCCACATAGATATACGCCATAATGTAATAAACATGGAAATGGAGTCCTGCAGCCAAATGTGTTAGTAGAACAACAAACTATCGTTACACCTCGGGGAAAAACGGAAGCCATAATCATTGGCACTGAAACATAACTGAGGAAGGGCAAACTAATTTTAATATCCGGTGTAATGAGGAACCCATCACTTCATTTTCCTCAGTGAAATATCTGGAAATCCCTATTGACCCATGCATGTCAGGAGAAGTTATAGGAAAGAGTTGTTAGGTAAGAAAGCGAAAATGCCAGACTGAAGTTCCTTTTACAGACAAACAAGCCAGTGTTGTCTACCTACTGAGGCTCGCGGACCCTATGTCTAGCCTTTTTATACAATGGTCATATGGAATATGCTTGCTCTTCGTGGTACTCTGCCTTGACAATCAAACTATGAAGATATTTTGACTGCAAATCAACCAGAACAATATGGTAAGATTCATCTGGACCTGGATCCAGATGAACATGAAGGCCAGGATGGAATTACAACAGTTGGATATGCTGAGTGAAGACAGAGGAAAACAACTGAAGCTAAATCAAGTTATAAAATTGCTCCACAGACAGTGTCCAGAATATCTTGCTGCCAATTTTGTCAAGGTTGGGAACCCAAAAGCAATCATAGTTACTAGGGAGAAGAGCACAGTAGTTTTGTAGTACCCCAGTCAGTGGACAGCTTCAAACACTCTTTAATTGTACAGCAATAAAGGAATGGAACAGACTACCCGCCACATGTCAAAGCCAGTCATAGCATGAAACAGTTCAAGGAGAGAGCGAAAACGGTACCTAAATATGAATGTAGCGACGGAAAGGAGTGAGATTATTTTTTTATTAGTTTTTTAGCCTAATCACAAAGGTAAATATAAATAACGCATTTTATCTTAATTCCTAGTTATATCTCCCTTTATTGTATAATAATAGATATATATTCCTTTATATAATAAATAATAAGATTTATCTCCTTTATAGTAATAATAATAGATATTATCTCCTTTATAGTATAATAATAAGATATGTTATCTCTTTATGTATAATAATAAGATATTATCTCCTTATAGTATAAATATAATGACTTATTAAAAAGACCCAAATGAAATAAGTCCAGGTTTGTCCGATTTTTTGGGTATCCCAGGTTATCCTACACATATGTTGCTATGTATGTAATCTATGTAACTA